AGGAGGAGGAGGAGAGGAAGGAGGGGAAGGAGTGGAGGAGGAGGAAGGAGGATAAAGGAGGGGGAAGGATGAGATGATGAAGGAAGGAAGGAAGGAGGGAGGGAGGAGGGAAGGAGGAGGAGGAGGTGGAGGAAGGAAGGAGGGGAGGGAAGGAGGAGGAGGAGGAAGGGAAGGAGGGAAGGAGGGAAGGAGGAGGAGGGAAGGAGGGAGGGAGGGAGGAGGGAGGGGGAAGGAGGAGGGAGGGAGGGAGGAGGGGGGGGTAAGGAGGAGGAGGGAGGGAAGGGAAGGAGGGGGAAGGAAGGAGGAGGGAGGAGGGAGGGGAGGAAGGAGAGGGAGGAGGAGGAGGAGGTTGAGGAGGAAGTGAGGGAAGGAGGAGGAGGAGGGGAGGGGGAAAGGAGGAGGAGGAGGGAGGATGAAAGAAATGAAGGGAGGAAGGAAGGAGGAGGAGGAGGGGAGGGAAGGAGGAGGGAGGGAGGGAGGAGGGAGGAGGTAAGGAGAGGGAGGAGGAGGAGGAAATGTAAGGAGGAATGAGGAAGGAGGGAAGGAGGGAGGAGGGGTGGGGTAAGGAGGAGGGAGGAGGGAAGGAAGGAGGAGGAGGAAGGAGGAGGGAGGAGGGGGTAAGGAGGGGAGGGAGGGAGGAGGGGGTGGGGAAAGGAGGAGGAGAGGAGGAAGGGGGAAGGAGGGTGAAGGAGGGGAAGGAGGAAGGAGGAGGAGGGGTGGGGTAAGGAGGAGGGAGGGAAGAAGGAAGGAAGGAGGGAAGGAGGAAGGAGGAGGGAAGGAGGGGAGGGGGGAGGGGAGGGGAGGGAGGGAAGGAAGGAGGGAGGGAGGGAGGGAAGGAAGGGAGGGAGGGGAGGGAGGGAGGGAAGGAAGGAGGGGGGTAAGGAGGAGGGAGGGAGGGAAGGAAGGAAGGAGGAAGGAGGAAGGAGGGAAGGAGGGAGGGAGGGAGGAGGAGGAGGAGGAGGAAAGGGGGAAGGAGGGAAGGGGGAAGGAGGAAGGGAGGAGGGAGGAAGAAGGGAGGAGGGAGGGGGAGGGAAGGAAGGGAAGGAGGGGGGGTAAGGAGGAGGGAGGGAGGGGAGGGAAGGAAGGAAGGAAGGAGGGAAGGAGGGAGGGAAGGAAGGAGGGAGGGAGGGAGAGGAAGGAGGAAGGAGGAGGAGGAGGAAGGAGAAGGGGGGTGGGGGTAAGAGGGAGGAGGGGAGGGGAGGGGAAGGAAGGAGGAGGGAGGAAGGAGGGAGGGAGGGAGGAGGAGGAAGGAGGGGAGGAGGAAGGGGAGGGGTAAAGGAGGAGGGAGGGAGGAGGGAAGGAAGGAGGAAGGAAGGAGGGGGGTGGGGTAAGGAGGAGGGGAGGGAGGGAAGGAGGGGAGGGGAGGGAGGAAGGAGGGAGAGGAAGGAGGAGGAGGGAGGGAGGGGAAGAAGGAGGAAGGAGGAAGGGAGGGAGGAAGGAGGAGGAGGGAGGGGAGGGAGGAGGGAGGAAAGGAAGGAAGGAGGAGGGAGGGAGGGAGGAAAGGAAGGAAGGAGGGAAGGAGGGAGGGGAGAGAGGAAGGGAGGGGAGGGAGGAGGGAGGGGAGGGGAGGGAGGAAGGAAAGAGGAGGGAGGGAGGGAGGGAGGAGACATGTATTATCAGAGGACTGGATTTAAGTGTGAGTGCAGGGAGACACAGACAGACACAGACACACACAGGAGATGGCAGGTAGGAGACCTTGCCTCTGGTGATGGCAGGTGGTAGTAGTTCAAGTAGTGAGTAGTAGTAATGGTGGTGGTGCAGGGTGGTGGCGATGGTCATGAAAGAGGAGGAGGAGGAAGAAGTGGAGAGGGGAGGAAGAAGGGGAGGAGGAGGAAGGGGAGGAGGAAGAAGGGGAGGAGGAGAAGGGAGGAGGAGGAAGGGAGGAGGAAGAAGGAGGAGGAGGAAGGGGTGAGGAGGAAGGGAGGAGGAAGAAGGGGAGGAGGAAGAAGGGGAGGAGGAGGAAGGGAGGAGGAAGAAGGGGAGGAGGAGGAAGGGAGGAGGAGGAAGGGGAGGAGGAAGAAGGAGGAGGAGGAAGGGGAGGAGGAGGAAGGGGAGGAGGAGGAAGGGAGGAGAAGGAGGAGAGGAAGGAGGAGGAGGAAGGAGGAAGAGGAGGAGGAGAAAATGACATCTATTAGCATTATAACCATTAAGTGACTCAGTAAACAAAAACATCACAGACCCTTTTAATGACGATGATGAACCTTTGATGACGATGATTTAACTTTCAGCCAGTTCAGCTCCCAGAAAGACGAATGTTCAGCTAAGCGCAACCTGGGAAACACCACTTACCGCAGAAGTCGCGACAGAAGGTGAGGGTGACCACCACAATCTGACCACACCCTGAGAGAGAGAGAGAGAGAGAGAGAGAGAGAGAGAGACCTAAAATAAATAAAACTTCCCCATGTTCCTGAAATTTCTTACACACACACACACACACACACACACACCTCAGTTGGTAAAACAGGCGTACATATCCATTTCAGATGTATTACTTCAGCGGCAGCTCCAAGTATCCCGATCCTACCTAAATAAATAAGTAACTAACTGACTGACAGACTGATAGACATTTTCTTCCAGTAAACGCTAATTGGTTGATGTACTGCCAGGCGTATGATAACTACTGTAAAGTGTACTGCCAGGCGTATGATAACTACTGTAAAGTGTACTGCCAGGCGTATGATGTTCTTATTTTTATAGTGAACAATATAAAATAGTGAGTTTTATTATTGTTAACGTGTTACTGTTGCTAGGTCAGTCACTCACCAGTACGATATCTTCACCATACAGCTCCCTATAGACGTCTGGCAGCGGGGTGCTTCATAGGGGTCATATGAAATAAAATTGTGTTTATTATTGTCATTGTTACTATAATCCTAATCTCTGTTGCTCTTTTTGTTGTTAATGTTGTTTTCATCCATAGTGTTATTGTTATTATTTTTGTTGTTTTAATCCGTATTGTTGTTGTTGTTGTTATTCTACATCCTGTTGTTATCGTTCGTGAGAGGGCGAAGTAGGGTAGTTTCTCGACTCATTAACTAATACTTCATTCCTATTGGTGGAGGCAACAGTTGCTTCACTCCTATTGGTGGAGACGACAGATGTTCAATGGCCTTGTTAGGAGTTGCTGAGAAAATATTATTGGTTAAGCTAATGATGGATGAGTCTCTCTCTCTCTCTCTTATCTGGCACGGGATTATGTGAATACGCAGGTATGTATGCATGTGTATATAGATATGACTGTGTGTGTGAGTGTATGTGTACATGATTAAGCATGAATGTTTGGGTGTACATAAGCACGTGTATGTTTTTGTACACCTTTGAATGTTAGCCTTTGTGTTTACAAGCGCACATGTGTGTGTGTGTGTGTGTGTGTGTGTGTGTCACTGGACCGTAAGCAACCACTGGTATGTTAATATACTCTCTTATACCCCCCCTCCTCCTCCTCCTCCACGACCTTGGTCTACTTGGCAGCACTTCCGGTAGAAACTTGCTAGTGACCATCCCTTCCCTCCCTTCAGTCTCGCGGTACCTTTACGTTAACCACGAGCCGGACAGCTGGGTGGTCCCCTCCCCCTTCTCTCTCTCTCTTGTTCTCTCTCCCTCCCCTTATCTGGCTCTGTATCTCTCTCAGTCTCTTTCTCTCAATTTATCTCTCCATCTTTGAGACAGACCCCTACCGAGACAACAGGAGACGCGGCGTTGGTCGACTCCCCCAGTAAGATACTTTTTGGCGGGGATATAAGTACGTCCTCTTACTTATTAAAGTATTGCTCTAGAGAAGTAAACATCTAACCTAACCTAATCTACATCCAATGAGTGTTTATGTCCTTAGAGACGCTCGTTTGATTCTGTGTTGCTGTTGTGTGAAGTAATGTTTAATCTTTGACATTCATTTGTTTTTATCTATTTTGAGACAATAAACTATACGTTCTTTTCTCACTTAAATCTAAATTTTGTGAAACCATCAAGTAAAAAAACTTTAAGACGAAATATTCATATATATGCAAGAAATCACTGTAGGTGCGCGTGATCTAGGTATATGCTGATAACCACAAGGAAAGAAGAAAACACGAAGTTCCCAAGCGCTTTCGTGTAATTCACATCTTCAGGGCTGAGTACAGACTAAAGAGAAATACAAACCAAGGTGTATACACCTTGGTTTGTATTTCTCTTTAGTCTGTACTCACCCCTGAAGATGTGAATTACACGAAAGCGCTTGGGAACTTCGTGTTTTCTTCTTTCCTTGTGGTTATCAGCATATATATATATATTTAAAGACACTCATTTGAATCAATTTACATTGTTGAATATTCAGTTGTGTGTGGCTCCTCAGTTTAACCCGAGACTTGACGTAACATGACTTAAGTTAAGTTGTATTGTTTATTGAAGTTGTAATTGATATATTCCGCTGAGGACGATGATCTCTTCTACCCTCCCTCTTTTCCCTCTCACCCACTCCGTCTCCCTCACTCCCACCACTACCCCTTTCTCCTCGCTCACTCTCCCACCCTCTCCCCCCTCTCTCAACCCTTTCACTCTCTTCTTCCTCCCTCTGTCACCCTCCCTTTCTCTCTCTCTCCCTCCTTTGCTCTCCTCTCCCCCAGTTACCTCCCCTGGCGGCACAACACACAGTTAACACATAACCTGGCGATAACAACCGCTTAATGATTCATAGAAAGATAGTTATTGAATACTTATAATTATACTACTACTACTAATATTACTAATAGACGCTAAAGGAAAATGGAAATAAACATGCAAAATATGGCAAAACACACACACACACACACACACAAAATGATACCAATAATCTGCACCAGGATACTAGACACTAGACCTGTGGCCTTACAGATAAAGAGATTACACTGTGTACACGGCGGACAGATACTGATCAGGATGGCTTAGTGATACATGACTCAGAGTAAGGACTTTCGACTCTTTGGTCTGAGGACGAAGGCAAGCGTTATCAGTGCTTGACAAAAGTATCGGGAGGGGAGGTGAGTTGGTCTAGTCATATACACGCTGTGAACCACGACAGACACACATACATAGTTGGTTACTGACTGGTGCTTTTTTTTCTACTGACGAAGGGCGAGGGATTATTCTGCGGTGTGGGGGATCCTACTGACGACGGCAGCAGTATATTAAGGTATAAGGTTTACTCCCACCATGACGCCTTGTGGTCATGTTGTTCTCTTTAAGTTATAACTCTTACCTCACTACTGTAGAAGGTATCTGTCAGGAGGAGGATCTTGTTTGCGTTACTCCTTTGTCAGTATGAGTCTACCGTAGGTTTCAGGTAACTACTTTATGTCGCGGAGCTTTGTTTACATAGCCGCACCACAACTCGGCGCTGTGCGTATTTCAACTCTTGCCCTTAACCTAGATCTTGAATACAAACACAAGTAAAAAGAAAAAAAAAGAAAATCAACAACAAAACTGTATTTAACTGAGTCATTCACACCTGTAATCAGTTTGTAGGATCCTGGTCGTGACAGGTACGTACGTGACTGATGACTGAGAAGCACGAGTCTTGCCGCCCTCTGTGACGGTGTGTGTGTGTGTGTGTGTATTCTCGTCCTTTTCCTCTCCTCCTTGTTCGTTTTCTTCTTTGTTACTTTTTTATTTTACATTTTCGTGTTTTTGTTATCTATCTTCTCATGCCTCTTTTTACTACCTTTTTTATTCCAATTTCCTTCTATTTTTGACTTTATGCTCTCATCTTGTGCTTATTCTGTTCCTCCACAATTCTTTTCTTCATCTTTCCTTCATTTGTTCTCATTCTTTCCTGTTCTATCTCTTCTGTTTTCATTTCTTCTTTCATCTTTCATATTTCTTCTCTCTAGTGACAGTGTCGAGGTCCTGCCATGGCGACGTCTTTACCCACATCTCAGTTACCAGCAGCTGAGTCGGCTCTCACTTGCGGAGTGTGTTTGTCAGACTTCGATGCTGGCTTCCGAAGGCCCCTTCTGCTACCGAAATGTGGCCACACCTTCTGCAGGCTGTGTATCAAGGATCTGGCAGCTCGAGGGGATATCTCTTGTCCATCCTGCAGGTAAAGTAACAAAGAATCACCTGAAATTAAGTCCCCACCAAAAAGATTTCACAATATGATTAAACACCCTAAACTACCCCCTCCCCACACTCGCCACCCCTTCCCCACACTCGCCACCCCCTCCCCACACTCGCCACCCCGTCCCCCTATTCCTCCCACCCCTCAGTTTTAGCTTCGAGATGTTTTTTTTTGGGTGGGGGGGACAACTCACATCCCGGAGTTGTTTGTTTTACCTGACAATTTTAGCTTTTTAACTCCCGCCTCGAGCATGTTCCTGCGTATTTTGGGTCAGTAGATTAAGGGGCGTGGTTGGGGTGCAGGAATGGTTGTAATTAAGACCAGGTAGAGTTCCTCATTAAGCTGGGGTGGTTGTGTCGTGTTGCAGGTACAAGTACAGTGAGGTGGAACCCGACAACCTGCCAATCAACTTTAACATACAGTGTCTTTCGTCCTCAACCAAGGTCTTCCCTACAATCTCTAAGGTAAAACACACACACACACACACACACACACACACACACACACACACACACCGATAGATATAAGAGCAGCACCATCCCATCTATTGTTAAAATAATAAACAACTCCTGATTTATGTACTGTACAGCCCTGTAAATGTATTCAATGCATATTATATCATTATGTCTAAATCAAATGTAAGTCTGTATATTTTCAGTCACCGGCTGCAACTCTATTAATAAACCGTTTATTATTATTATTATTATTATTACACACACACATGCATTAACTATGTACACAATAACACATCAAATTGCAATATTAGAATGAAAAATTAAACGACTAATAATTTTTAAGTATTTACTGCCTACGACTCTGTGGTAACCAGTGCAGTTGTAATTGTTGAATTATCTCGATATTAAACACTTAATGATTTATAGTTTTGTTTACCATTAAATACCGCCAGCATGACTATCATAGAAAACGGACAATATTTAGGGAAATAGTTAGGATAACTCAAACAACTTGAAGGAGAGCTAGAAAATAGTATTGTGAGATATAATTTGATTTAATTTGAGTGTCCGTCGGCCCTTATTGATTTTAAGTTAGATTAGGTTAGGTTGGGTTTGGTTAAATTAGGTTAGGTTAGGTTAAGTTAAAAATTTTTGGTTCTCACTGAGGAAAAAGTTTGACTCCTCGGATTAAATTTTCGGCTAAGACTTAACTAAATACGTAATGCAGATAGAGGACCCGGGGAGCCTGTGTGTGGACCACAAGGTAAGGCTGGCCTTCTGGTGTAGCAGCTGCGAGGTGGCCGCCTGTGGGGAGTGTCTCTATGATCGACACCCACGACCATCACACACTATCTGTCGCATCGAGGAGGTGGTAGAGCAGGTGAGAGAGAGAGAGAGAGAGAGAGAGAGAGAGAGAGAGAGAGAGAGAGAGAGAGAGAGAGAGAGAGAGAGAGAGAGAGTAGTAGTAGTAGTAGCAGTGAAGGTGTTAAGGTGTTGTGTAAGTGGATGAAATAATGAGAGCGGGACTGGCTGGTTATTAACTCTGGCAGACCGTAAACTTGGGTGGGAGAGGATGTAAACAGAGTGATGGTTGTGTTAAGGTTACTTGAGGTTGTCTTAGGTACTTAGTGCACTGCTGGGAGACTTCAGCACCAGGCTACCAACGTTACCTGAGAGAGATTACGTTTCTGTCAGGTAATACAGGAGACAAGTTATCCAAGACAGATCAGATAGATGAATGAAATTATGCTCGGTGGTACATGTGGTTTTTATGTTAAATATTTTCACTGTGGTCTTAATGTATCAGTCAGAGGCAGAGCTGTAAGTTCCTGTACTACAGTAACTCCTTTAAGTCTCTCTAAGGCTCTGTAACTCCTGTAAGTGAGTCAGGATTTACTTACAGGTGAAGGAGCGAGCGCAGCGTCTGGCCCGTGAGAGCTGTGGGGATGTGGTCGTGCGTCTTGGAGAGTCCGTCAAACGCACGCTACGAGACGTGTCGGACTTACAGGAGGCAGCTCACCTCCTCCAGGAGACGGCCAGGATCTATCGCTCGGCTCAGGTGGCAGACAGCCTCCCCTCCATCACCTCCGTCTTCGAGTCGGCCAAGACAGTGAAACAGAAAGTCGGGGCGCTGGAACACTCGGAGGAGGGCGGCTACACCATGCCGATAGAAGCGATCGTGAGTTCGAGACCCGCCGTGTTGGCCCTCAGCGAGTCGGGGGGTCTGGCCCAGGTGAAGGTGGAGAGGAAGGGTATCCATATATACAGTCTGCGGCCAACCTCCACCGCCTACAGCGTCGCGATCAAGGTAGAGTGTCGGTGTGGTGCCCCCTCTACAGCCAGTACTGCCCCCCCCCTCCTCGCTCTCTCTGTGTCCAGTTTATGAAATATCTATCTTAATGATCAATGAATATATCTATCAACATTGTCTTAGGTTTAGCAAGATATCACAAATATCTTTCACCAATTCCAAAATCTGACTCCAAGACTGTGGTGATTCAATCAACTTCCTTTCCAGGACTTTTAAGATGACCACTTGACCACTGACCTGGCCTTATCCATCTCAAACCTGACCTCTGACCTCTTCGTCCCACCCATAACAAACCCCTCACCTCTCCTAACACCCACAGCTGACCGTGTTGATGTCTTGTGTGAAGAAGGAGTCACCGCTCGTGTTTCTGGACCTCAAGGCTGGGGAGCGTCGGCTAGGTCGGGTGTACATCACGCTGGTTGGTACTATGAGGCGCTCCCAGCAGTTTATAGCACTCTGTCTCGGTAACCTGGGACATTCTTACCGTGGTACCAGGTGAGGTATGCTTCTCACCTCTACTATCAAATACCTTACTCTCTCTTTCCTTTTCTCTCATATACCCCACTCTCTCTCTCTCTCTCAGTCTCTCTCTCTCTCATTCTTCTTCTTTCCTTAAACACCTCTCTCTCTCTCTCTCTCTCTCTCTCTCTCTCTCTCTCTCTCTCTCTCACTTCCTACTCCACTTTTCACGAAACACTTTACCTTCGTTAAGTTGATATAAGTAAAAATATAAGTAGTCTCCTCCCACGAAAATCTACATGTAATAAGCAGATAAAAGTATTTGTAAGTAAATTATAAGTAAATACAACCCCCCAACATGAAAACCTAATCAATAAGTGTATAAAATGCTTGTAAGTGGATCATAAGTGTTTCCCTCTGACAGGTTCGACGGCATCAGTGAGAAAGGTCAGCCAGGAGAGTACTTGAGGGGTGGTGACTATCAAGGAAGAGGAGGATTAGGGGGAGAGGCCCTTATGGACAACCTTGAGTGGGGTGGACAGTAAGTATGAGTCAATCTATAAGTGTGAGTCAATGTGTACGTGAGTCAATGTGTACGTGAGTCAATGTATACGTAAGTGTGAGTCAATGTATAAGTCAATTTATGAGTCAATGTATACGTGTGAGTCAATATATGAGTCAATTTATGAGTCAATATATAAGTGTGAGTCAATGTATGAGTCAATCTATAAGTGTGAGTCAATGTGTACGTGAGTCAATGTATAAGTGTGAGTCAATGTGTACGTGAGTCAATGTGTACGTGAGTCAATGTATACGTAAGTGTGAGTCAATGTATAAGTCAATTTATGAGTCAATGTATACGTGTGAGTCAATATATGAGTCAATTTATGAGTCAATATATAAGTGTGAGTCAATGTATACGTGTGAGTCAATGTATAAGTGTGAGTCAATGTATACGTGTGAGTCAATGTATAAGTGTGAGTCAATGTATTCGTGTGAGTCAATGTATACGTGTGAGTCAATGTATAAGTGTGAGTCAATGTATAAGTGTGAGTCAATGTATACGTGTGAGTCAATGTATATGTGTGAGTCAATGTATACGTGTGAGTCAATGTATAAGTGTGAGTCAATGTATACGTGTGAGTCAATGTATAAGTGTGAGTCAATGTATAAGTGTGAGTCAATGTATAAGTGTGAGTCAATGTATAAGTGTGAGTCAATGTATAAGTATGAGTGAGATTAAAAAGTAATGTGTGTGTGTGTGTAAATGAGTAAGACAGACAGACACAGACAGACAGACACAGACAGACAGACAGACAGACACGGACAGACCTCAGCAACACTCACTCATCACCACACTCCTCACACAGGTGGGCCAAACCCAAGGCAGCAGGACAGGTGTGTGGGGTCGGCGGTGAAGAAGGGAAAAAATTTGGCTCACTCTTCGCCATCTGCCTCCGTGACAACCCCGAGGACACCTTCAGAGTTCCCTTCGGCGAGGTGACGGAGGGCCTGGAGGTGTTGGAGATCGCCAGCAGACACGAACCTTTCAGAGTGGTACACATTAGCGACTGTGGTCTGGTGATCCCGTTGTGAGAGAGAGAGAGAGAGAGAGAGAGTTTAGGTGGAAGGGAAGGAGGAAAGTATCACTGTCGGAGGTACTGTACTGTGTCTACTTTCCTGACAGACTGAGGGTCGGAAAGTGTGTTAAGAACATAAGAACATAAGAATGGAGGAAACTGCAGCGGGCCTATTGGCCCATACTGGGCAGTCCCGTTTACACCCAACCCCTATTGCTCATATGAGCATCCAACCTATGTTTGAAGCAATTCAGAGTATTCGAGTTAATGATGATATTTGGTAACTTGTTCCATTCATCCACTACTCTGTTTCCAAACCAGCGTTTACCTATTTCACCCCTAAATCTAAATTTGTCTAATTTAAAACCATTGTTACGAGTTCGCTCCTGGTTGAATAGTTTGAGTACCTTTGTAATGTCCCCTTTGTTTAGCCCTGCCTTCCACTTATACACCTCTATCAGATCGCCCCTCGCTCTACGTCTCTCAAGTGAGTGCAAATTAAGATGCTTTAACCTGTCTCTATACTCAAGGTTCCTAATGCCCGGGATTAGTCTTGTCATTCTCCTCTGAATTCTTTCCAAGGATTTTATATCCATTCTGTAATACGGTGACCAGAACTGAACTGCGTAATCCAGGTGTGGTCTCACAAGAGCAAGATACAGTTTTAGGATGACCTCGCTAGTCTTGTAACTAACACTCCTTTGTATGAACCCAAGTACTTTATTAGCCTTGTTACGAGCAAAAACACATTGTTTACTTGGCTTAAGGTTCCTACTTATCATTACTCCTAAATCTCTCTCGCAGTCGGATTTCTCTATGGCATCGTTGTTCATCTGGTATCTGGTTTCCCTGTTTACATCTCCTATACTGAGTACTTTACATTTGTGACGTTGAATTTCATCTGCCATTTTTCAGACCATTCGAAAATTTGTTTAGATCTTCCTGTAGTTTTGCCGAGTCCTCGTCCAGATTTGATAACACGTCCTATTTTAGTGTCATCAGCAAATTTACTTATGTTGCTGTCATGCCGATATCTATGTCGTTTATGTATATAATAAATAATAATGAATTAAAATGCAAACCTTGAGAACTCCACTTGTGACGTTGCACTCCCATGGGACTTAGTGCCGTTAATGCTCACTACTGTTTCTGTCCTGTAACCCGCCCTAATGCATTAAGGATACTTCCGCAGCGATGCCATGAGCTTCTACCTTTCTAATTAGTCTTTCGTGGGGGACTCTGTCGAAGGCTTTGCTAAAGTCGAGATATACCACATCATAATTGTGCCCCTCGTCCACCGATTCGAAAACGGATGAAAAGAATGTTAATAGATTAGTTAGGCAAGAACGTCCGCTTGTGAAGCCATGCTGGGATCATTGATCAATCGGTGCTTCTCCAGGTGATTTCGAATAGAGTTTGAAATGATTGCTTCCAGTAATTTCCCTACTATTGATGCTAGACTGATTGGGCGGTAGTTAGAGGATAGTGATCTATCCCCCTTCTTGAAAATCGGTATTACATTCGCTATCCTCCAGGATTCTGGTACTACACCTGTTTTTAATGACATATTTAAACAACTTTGTAAGAGACATCTATTCTTCCTTGTTCATACAATACTCTTGGCAAATGTCTCATCGGGACCGGGTGACTTATTGGGCTTTAGTTTTGTATCTATTTGCTTACCTAACATCGTTACTAATCACTACTATCTCGCAACAATTCTTTCTTCCTATCTCTGAATAGAGGGTACCTCGGGTATCATGTTTAAATTTTTAGTGGTGAAAACTGGTAGAAAAATATTTATTCAAATTAGCTGCTCATTTCTCCGTCGTTATCAGTGAGCTCCTTGAGAATCTGACCCGTGGTCCAATCTTTTCTCGTACATTTGGTACGAATCCTTTGGGGTTTGTCTTCCTTACTCCCTTACTTTCCTTGCACCATTATTCCTCTTGCTTTCCCTAACTTATCTCGTTTCAACCCTACTCCTTCAAAACACCTGTATTTAAAGGTGAATTTCATACGATTTATCCTTCTACCTATAGCCTTCCTTTGGCCAATGATGTTCTTTAAATAATTATTTATCCCTTTAAGAGATTGTTGTCTGATCTGAGTTTTTTGTATGGTTATCTTCTGCTGCTGTGCATTAAGTAACTCACTATTTAGGGGTGTCGTGGAGACTCGGCAATCTGAATCTCGTTATCGGAATTAGGTGTCATCTGTCCGGTTTTCGTAAGCGGCATACCTCTCTCAGCTGCCTCTTTAAACTGTCAAAGTTTGCCCTTCTGAAATCTGGTTCTTTAGTGGAATTTTCCTTACGTCTGCCCTGAAAATCTAACTGGAATCGAATTTCTTTGTGATCGCTGTTTGCAAGTTCGTTCCCTACCTCGACATTGCTAATTAGGTTTTCTCTGTTCGACAGAACTAAGTCCAGTATATTATTACCCCATGTGGGTTCGGTTATATGTTGACTTAGGAAACAGTCCTGGATCGTCTCGAGAAAATCCTGTGATTCTGAGTTACCCGTAAGGTCAGTCCAATCTATTTGGCCAAGGTTAAAGTCGCCTACTATACAGACTTTGTTGTGTATGGAAGCCCTGCGCATTTCATCCCAGATAAGTCGCTCATTGACGCTATCAAGATTGGGGGGTCTATATATTACTCCTGTGATTAATTTCCCTGACAAGTGACTGTCATTGGGAGTAATGGTTGTAAACGGTGGGCTATTATTGTTATTATTATTATTATTATTATTATTATTATTATTGTTATTATTATTATTGTTATTATTATTATTGTTATTATTATTATTATTATTATTATTATTATTATTATTATTATTATTATTGTTATTATTGTTATTATTATTATTATTATTATTATCATTATTATTGTTATTATTATTATTATTGTTGTTATTATTATTATTATTATTATTATTATTATTGTTATTATTATTATTATTATTGTTATTATTATTACTATTATTATTATTATTATTATTATTATTATTATTATTATTATTGTTATTATTATTGTTATTATTGTTATTATTGTTATTATTATTACCTTTAATTGGGAGATATAAAATGTTATAAGATAAATTAATAATATAGTTATCGGACAGTATATCGACCCTACGAAAGGTCAGTCACTTGTAAACAAAGATGTGTCATGGCGGCTGAACTAACTTGACCGTATTACAGGATGGATATAGAATCATTGGAAAGAATTCAGAGGAGAATGACAAGACTAATCCCGGGCATTAGGAACCTTGAGTATAGAGACAGGTTAAAGCATCTTAATTTGCACTCCCTCGAGAGACGTAGAGCGAGGGGCGACCTGATAGAGGTGTATAAGTGGAAGTCAGGGCTAAACAAAGGGGACATTACAAAGGTACTCAAACTATCCAACCAGGAGCGAACTCGTAACAATGGTTTTAAATTGGACAAATTTAGATTTAGGCGTGAAATAGGTAAACATTGGTTTGGAAACAGAGTAGTGGATGAATGGAACAAGTTACCAAATATCATCATTAACTCGAATATGCTGGATAGCTTCAAACATAGGTTGGATGCTTATATGAGCAATAGGGGTTGGGTGTAAACGGGACTGCCCAGTATGGACCAATAGGCCCGCTGCAGTTTCCTCCATTTTTATGTTCTTATGTTCTTATGTTAACCTGACCTGACCTAACCTGACCTGACCTGTCCTGACCTAACCTGACCTGACCTAACATAACCTAACCTAACCTAAGAACGACTGATTTATCTTTGCCAAACATTAAGAAGAAAATTGATGAAAAACATAAACATAAACAATAACAAATAAATAAATAAATCACTTTATATATTTTTTTACCCCATTATTATTGTTATGTGATTATTTAATGTTCACGTTTCTTCTCCCCTTCTTGTTCTTCTTCTTCTACACACACACACACTCTTTTTCTATCTCTCTTACTTTACCTACATTCATTTCTCTTTATATATCTCCCTCTCTGTTTGCTTCTCTCTCTCTATCTCTCCCTCTCTATTTCGTTTACTCTGCATTTATATCTCTCTATCTCTCTTACTTTTTACCTCTCTCTCTCTCTCTCTCTCTCTCTCTCTCTCTCTCTCTCTCCACTTTTCACCCTGTCTGTCTGTCTGTCTGTCAACCAAAGTCTTAATATATTGACAGACAGACAGACTAATTTCCTGACAAATGAACTCTAAAACTGTCAACAGGTAGGGCAGAAGTGGTGGTGGGGTGGTGGTGGTGGGCCAAGGTGGAGGCGTGTCTGTGTGTGTGTTGCTCCTGTCCTTGTGCTGGATGTGCCTCCCCCACGCCCTCCCTCCATACCATCACCTTCTCCTCCCCACCCCTCCCCCGTCTTCACCCCCCCCACCCACCCATCACCCCCCATCCCACCCACGCCCATCACCCTTCGTCCTCCATCACCCATCACCCCCACACACACCCCACCCACCTTCCCGAGGCTGGCACTTCACTATAGTAACCCCAGATAACTTTACTCAGCTAAGAAACATTCAGAGAACTAGTTACCATTTTGTGTTGACTTCTTCGTCTGCTCAGTGTCTGCCCCCCACTAGACGCGGCACTCTTAAAGGCAGCTTTGGCGTCTCACATCGTCTTTTTTGCCTCAACTCTCGGATTCTCTGCTCGACTGACTTACGTTAATTTTCCGCGGTTAAGTGAAGCTCCATATGTAGAGTAAACTAGTAAGTAACGTAAGTAGATTTAGTTTTAGAAGTATTCGGTATCACACTTTGAAAATATTAGTTAAGTGTTTTGTTTAGTGATGTTGATATTCCTGAATACACCTGATGCGTTTGTTTTCGGGGAAAATATCAAAATCTTTCGGCCAGTGTTCAATTATAAAGACGGTAAAATAATAACGATACATTTTGAAGGATTGCACAAAAATTAATTAAATATAAGTGAACACAATGATGAGGGTTAACACACTTATAACCCAGGAGGTATACTTTTCCTAAATGGATTCTCGTAAACACAAATATTGTAAATGGCTTTTATAATCGCCTGAAAACATCGAAAACAATACTTACACTTCAGCCAGTTGTAAAAGCCAGACAGACAGACAGACACTTGGACAAAATCACCATTACACTGGTCGTACAGAAGGTGAACGAAGCAAACAACAAGCCGGGCTGATGACACTCAACACTGACCAATGGCC